GACAGTAATACAACCTTCACTCTCTCCATCAACACCTGTGCCAGCTTTTTCATGTATTGCTACTGTTTCTGTTACAGATAACATACTACACCATGACTGGTGGGCACAACCCCACAAGTATGGAAAGACGAATACTTGTACAAACTTTTACGAATGAGTTTGCCAGTTCCCTCAATTGGGCTGGACGAGGAAAGAAAAGAGGCCTGCAATGTACAAAGTTACAGGACTGCATTTTCTGTAAGTCATGATTAATATTTTTTTATTGCAGTTAATAACAGTTAATTGTCTGGACAGTTTCATAAGACAAGAGACATTGATATTTTATCTGGCCATTATTATAGTCAGCTTCAGCTTGCTATTATTCCTAAATCACAGATAGTAGTATACCAAAGTTGGAACATATTAAGGAAAGCTGAAATAATCTCATCTACATCTGTTTTAGATGCTGTGCGAAAGGTGTTTTCTTCAAGGACGCATGCAGAGTTTGCAGATGTTGTTAAGCGGTGGCTGCGGTATGCCCCAGAGCGTGAGGGTGGCAAGCAGCGCAAACCTTCACAGCCTTAAGATACTTGTTGCACTTTTTAAAAAATATTTTTGTATTATTTTATTTTTGATGTTTTGTTTGGTATTTTACTAAAAAGGCAAGCAAGTGAATATGTTGTTTAGGTTTTTGACATGAGTACAACAAATAAAGGTGAAGTTTCCTTATTGTCAAAGTCACTACTACATGCTGTTTGAAAAATGCTTTCCCCCCAAACCCTGAAGTTGGCTGAAAGTAAATGTTCTAAATTTAATTGTTAATAAAACGTTCTATTATTTGTACTTGCTGGTTGTTTTGTGATAATTGGAGGTAGCCAGATAAATACAACATATTGATTTAGTGTTAATTCAATATTAATTCTACCAAAAAACAACCATAAACAGTAATTGAAAATAAGTTGTTGTATTGTTGTAATACATCAAAATATAACATTGAATCAACGGTATTTCAATCAAAAGTCGATGTGCGCTAATGAGTTTATTCTGATGTCAGAGATAAACATTGATTCAATGCATTAGATGATATAAAAAAGAACGTTGATTCAATGTACATTTGCTATCTGGGTAGGCTACCATAATCATATAGGCTAACTGGTGCGATAAATAAGCTTAACTTTTTCGGGGAAAATATATCGAAAAACTGCATAAGACAACCATGCAGCAGGTTTTGCAGTCCGACGTATGATCGAGATCAACAAGATAAATCCCATAATCTGAGAAACAGGGCGAGCGGTGTGAGTTGCCAATGGTAGCTTATGTTTCGTTGTTTGAATAGCCTTGTCTTTTTGTATATCTTCCTTACTTTTCGCGAGGGGCTTCCGACTATAATTTGGCTTCATAAAAGCGTGATGGAATAATGAGTTGTCTTCTGTAAATAAAAGATACAAAAACATTTTTCATTTGTGGGTGAATCAAAATATAAGGAAAAGAAATAAGCCGAAAAAAATTATGAATATCACGCAGGTAATGCAAATAGTCTACACACAAATTTTCACGAGAAATTTCTATCCAAAATATCTGTAGGCCTATAAGTGTTTCTTCACCTAATGTAAAAACAATATGAGACATTTTACCTACCTTAAAAAATGCTTCATTTTGTCACTTCGTGATTTATCATACAGAATTCACTATATGATGGTCTATGCCTCTGTGAAAAGGATACTGTATATGAATTTTACAAGAAGGCAACGTTTCCCCAAAACAATGTGATATATCGGTCAAAACAATCCCTCTTTTCTTGTAAGACGAACATGACGCAGTTCGGCGTCTGTGTGCGATACAGCTCTTCGCCTGGTGCAGTCATGGGAAGACCACGTTCATATTTTAAGTAGATCTAATATCATCCACATAAGAAATGCATATGTTTTTACGCCATTCAGATAGTAAGCACTGGTGTCATTTTCAATAACCCGATGCTTATTTATACACAGTCGCTCGGGACACAATGTTTGAACTGGTGCGCTCCTTAAAACCGGATAATAGTGCATTGTGCGAGACAATTCGCGGTTAATATTAGCTGAACAGACTGAAGCGTACACAGAGAAAATCGCCAATCTAGGAAAAGTGGAAGGCACCCAATACCGTAAGAGCTGTGCGCCGTGGCGTGCGTTTAATCCCTGGCCGGTGCTTGCTTTTCCTCCATGAAAGCAACTGTCGCCGCCCGCAAGATCCGATGCGGGGCTACAGTACCGAGGAAACCCGTTATCAAAAGCTGGTAAAAACCGGGGGCACCTTGGCGTGCCCTGCAACTCATGCGTTCAACGTTTTCCCTCAAACAAAAAAAAATGTTGTCGTCGAGCAATGTTTAGAAGTTAATTATCAGCATGTGTATTAGCTTCTTAAGTGCAAATCTGTTTGCCTTATTTACGCACCGAGCCGATAGGGCACATAAGCTGGGGTTTATAAACAGCATCCAAGGACTATATTAGTTCGGCCGATCGTTTTGAAAGGGGAATGCCACCCATTTCTCAGGTGCAATTTTCATTTTCAACTCGAGGTTGATTTTCTCGTTTCACTGGTTTGCTTCGTTAGGATGCAGACAGACTAATGGCTCAACATGATTTTATTTTTTTTACATTATTGATTGTGCTAACCATCCCCAGTACTTTTTTACGGAGAAATTGAATGCTTCAGTTTGCCCAGGACGCTTTGATGCAGGAATGTTTTGTCAGTGTTATGTAGACCTACCCCTCGGATTGCTTATAAACAATAACTAGACTATCTTGGAAATAATACTAAAACCAATATCATCACTCAGGGGATTGCAGTTCTGAATTATTCTCAGTGTGATTATAATACTTAGGACTGAGGGTGCTTTCACATCTGTGGTTCGGTTCATTTGGTCCGGACCAAGGGCAACAAATGATACAGTGTAGCATTTTTCTGCCGTTTTGGGTCCTTTTCACACCACACTGATTGCTCTGGTCCGAACCAGTTGAAACGAACCAAAATGACAACATCTACATCACTCGTTGGCCAGATGTGCCATTAAACGTATTTCGTAAACTGCTTTTTAATTGGTCAGAATTAACGTGCGGGAAAATTCCAATGGAACTCCCGGAAGTAAACAAAGCGAGGAGACAACAAGCCGGTAGACAACATGCCGCTATTTAGTATGGAGGGACGACTGCGCTGGCTGATTGTATCGCTGGTCATCGTATACCATATAGTTTGTATACATCACTTTAGACAAACTATACATTTCGAGAAAGAAGCGCGGATGCGGCTGAAAAACAATGTTTTAATGCACTGGAAACGGCGAAGGCGCATCGCAAGTCACTTCAGGAGGAGGCGTGAATTCATTTTGCGAAACTGTGACATGGTCATCTTCCGGAAATATTACCAACGATCCATCAGGTAAGTTAATGTTATGCCCTCTCTCTCTGTTTAAAATTGTTTTCTGTGAGCTTCTGCAGTAAAGCCTACACGTTTTCATTATAAACATTCTCACTATGCTGTGCTGGGTCCTCGAATTTGAGAGAACTGGGCTTGGAAAAGTCATTGAATTCGATGTGGTGTGGTAACCCTGCCTATGCTTCTGCTTGCTTGTCATTAAACAGCTGGATTAGTCCAAAAAGGCGCAGTACTTTTTGCAGTTGGGTCTGTTCGAGTTCGGATCATGTTCTCACCACAAACGAACCGCTCCAGTGTTCGTTTGAAAGCGTACCGAGACCACCTCTTCAAGGAGGTCTCGGTACGCTTTTTTGGTCCGCTTTTGGTGCGCACTCGGGTGCGATTGTTACATTCACTCCTGCCCAAACGAACCGCACCAAGTAGGAAAACGAACTCTAGTGCGATTCAACCGAACTAAATGAGGCAGATGTGAAAGCACCCTTAGACTACAGAGGAATATTCCTGGGAAGCCACCTTTAATAAGAATTAAAAATTCTTACATAGGTTCTTATACTGTAATGTCGCCTGTACAGTCCAGTTGGGCCTGGCCTACGACTCTTGGAAACACACATCAACAGCTTCCATCATCCATGCATTCATAGTATGTAACCAAAGCATCCCACTTGGGATTTACTGACTGCACTCCAACTACAAAGTGGACCCGGAACCAAAGCAATGGACTGGAAGTTGGTGTGCAGAGCCAAGCGGTAACTGAGCAAGTCTGAAATCTTGCGTCTACAACTTAGTTTTTGCTTTCACTTTCAAGACTATAAAATGCTTCGGTTGCTATAACAATTTGAACCAATGTGTTTGCTCTACATCCAATGCGATTTAATGGCAGCTGAGTAATGATATTAAAAACAGATATAGACCATTTGTCAGTATAAAATCTTTTATTTGTACAAACCTGATTGTGAACTGATCAAACAGAGGTCATGACCTTGCCTTGCTCACGCCATCAGATTGCCTTGGTATCGCCGGTATATCATGACCTGACTTACAGATCTGACCATATTTGGTGGTGACAGCACCCGAAGTCTCCACCGTGGAAGTTAATGCACATTTCCAGGATTGTTAGCCGAAAATGACACAAGGCCAGCCTCAGACACTTTTGACCCATTTAACAAAAAAAGTTTGGACGTCACACAAAATATGTCCGAAAATGGATATAAAATTTGAATTGGAGATAACAAGACACCATTCACATGATTTTGTACAAATTGGAAAAACAAACAAAACAATAATATGGTGAGTGACCTGATAGCCAAACCCATAAAAAACAAATGTTTCCCATTTTTAATCCTTCCGCTTGTTGGCCATATTGCATATAGCACCTCATTTGAAACTAAACAAAAACATTTAGAAAATCCATGTAGTAATACATCCCTTTGTAAGGATTACTATAATACTAATTTAATTCTAAGTGCTTTAGATTCTCAAAGCAATCTACCCACCCACATTGTAATGGAAAATGTGAATGTCTGACACTGAGATAGTAAAGAGTTTAATTAACTTCTCCTTCACCCGACGTGTCCTCTACAGCGAGAGGGATGTATGAATATTACATGTTCCAGCACATGAAAGATGCCCATGAATCACTATAATGCTAGTGTAGGACAGGGGTGGCGTACCTGATCCATGGAGAGCCAGTGCGGGTTTTTAGGATGGCCTCTCAATCAGCCTATAACAGTGGCATGACTGGAGTTGAAAACCACTGCTTAATTATTGGCTGATTGAGAGGTCATCCCAAAAATCCACACACACAGCAGCTCTCCATGGATCAGGTACACCACTCCTGGTGTAGGGGAACCCCCCTCGCCCCTCCTTTTTTTTTTTTTTAAAGTGCAAAGTGCAAAGCTAAAACTTAGTGCTAGTTTCACCAGCATGGTCTCGTGATTGCCACTGAAGCCGATTCGTAGCCCCTCCCCCATCTCCCTCTTTGTCCACATCCACTTCCTGTCTGAAGTAGTTGTCCAGGGAAGCGCTGAGGGAAGGTGCCGGGGTCCTGTCAAGTCTGGCCGGCCCTTCTGGAGCGAACGTGGGCACGACATTGAACATGACAAATCCCACGGTGATCACCACAAAGGAGACGATGTACAGGCCCGAAAACTGCAAAAGCAGAAAGGGTGAAAGATCAATTGCATGTATGCTATTATGCCAAGGCCACGTCAGATGACATTTTTGATAAAGAACCAAGAAGATTAGCACTTGGTCTTCACCTAATGTTTATAAATCTTATAATTAATGACAGTATAAAGAAAGAACAGGATTAAACCTACTGCAAGGACTCTATTGCAAGGACTCACTGACTGGCAGTAACGAGCTGAATAAACTAGCGGTAACATTGCCAAAAATTAGAGCGTGGCACAACCCATAAACAGCAAAACACTTTGTGCACACACAGTAACATTTTCCAGCTGTCACATTTTAATACTCAGCTAAGAGAGTCAAGTTAATGAAAGCCATGGTGGACAGACCACCCCAGAAGGCAGACCTGTGCCAACAAGAAGACATGAACAGTCTGGTGCTTGAGAAAACGGACTGTTAATAAAGTAATGTAAAGACAGAATAAGTCACTGGAAGAATTTTAAAAGCAAGCTCAAAGGTCAACTCAAGGCCCGAATGTGGAGTGTATCCCCGGTCCTCCTACCCACCCCAGCTGTAGGATATCGCTCACCGTGTAGCCAAAGAGGAAAAGGCCACAGAAGAGGCTGAACAGGTCAGCAGTGAGCAGGGAGAGGTTGACCGCTGTGGCACTGGTCAACCTCAATGCCACGGGCATGCAGCTGTACAGCAGGAACATACAGGAGACGTAGATGGTGAATAGGACGACTGTGGAGATAGCGGGGGGGGGTTAATAAACAGATCCAAACCAAATCATCAGTAACCCCATAAAGACAAGGCACAATCTGATTGGTTGGTCCCGTGTCAAGTTGCTTAGACTCACTTCCTCTACAATCTGATTGGTTATCTCTCAACCAATCATATGCCCTCAGAACATTTTTGTGTAACTAAAGTTCCCATGAGCTGAAACCAATGTATCACGATTTGTGGGGCTGATGTACAGAAAGATAGACTGCATACAGGACATAGAGCAGAAATGTCCAGAGGCAGAAGAAAGAAAATAACTAGCTGTTTAAAGTCGTACAGTTGCCCAGCAACCCGGGAGATGCTAACATACAAGGGTTGTGTGACAATCAGGAGAAGTGAACCTTCTGTACATCTAGCGGAAAACACTAGAAACTAAACATAAAGGTTATGGACCAAATGCCTTGTATGCTTGTATGTGAAATATATTATCTGAAAGTATTTCAGTAAAATAATCAACAATACAATTATATAAAGTTTCAACTGAGAGAACATGGTCATGCGGCCTCACCTATCCACCAGGTCCATGGGATCATCACTACAGACTTGTGCTCCAAAATAGCCCTGCAAGCCCAGAGAACAGGTATGCTGACATGGACTGAAGCAATGACGCATTTACATTTACAGTATTTAGCGGATGCTCTTATCCAGAGCGACTTCCATTTTTTTCTAAATTCAGGGACAGTCCCCCTGGAGCAAGTTGGGGTTAAGGGTCTTGCTCAGGAACCCAATAATGGTAGTACCAGAGGTGGGACTCAAACCCGTGATCTCTTGGCCCAGAGGCAAACATCTTAACCACTAACAGCCTATGGCATTTAAAAACAGCTACACATGACCAATCCCATTCCACCTCCCCAGGCTTTCTTTATCCCATCACAGCTTACATCTGGATGCCGCTGATCAGGGTTCCAAAGAGTCCCATCATGCCTAGGAACTCCACTCGACCCTGGTTCTTCACCACGTGCTCTTGGCACACATTGGAGACTGCATACAGGGCGGCGCTAATGAGCACCAGCCCATCTCCCAGCAGGATGTCACTGGCTATGGGGGTCGAGCGAGAGAACAAAACCACGCCATATGATTATGGTGACGGAAAGTTAAGCAGTGACAGGTTACACTCAGTGATACTGACTGGATGTTGGGTATATGTGCACCAGAGGTGGAGATTTCAGGTTCTGAGAGTACAAATCCAGACCAAGATTTTGTTTCAACCAACCTGTCAAGTATAAATAGTCACAGAGAACTCAACTGGTTGGTTGAAACAAAATCTTAGTCTGGATTTGTATTTTCTGGACCTGAAATCTCCCTCTCTGATGTGTCCACATCTGAATCAGTTCAGTCTCAATCAGTGTAACTGAGCAAAGTGTTTATGAAGTTAGTAAACCATTGTGTGACATATACAGAAAAAGCATGGCCATAATGTAATAAAATATGTTTAAATTAATTAAGTGTAATTTTTACTCTTTTGTATATAATGCTACAGTCCTCCCCATCCCCTCATCTAGCTTAGTTCCTTGTCTCTTCCCAGGATGCTTCCAGAATCCCTGGATGTTGCTGCTGTTTTAGCTACAACCTTTTGTGTCTGGATATCTGATGTCTACCTTTGTAACACAGTACCAATGCCATGTGGGCAAAGCACAGTAGTGAGAAGTGAGACAGCAGACACAAACAAGATGACCATGCATGTAGACAACACAAAGAAGTATGTGCACACGACCACCAGGGGGCAGAGTGAGCAAGACAAGCAGGCTGCATTGACTAAACACATCGCTTTATCAGATAGACCATCATAGACTAAGACAAGATTTCAGTGTTTAGAAAATGTTATTCCTATTAGGTTGACACATCCAAGGTAATCATTGGCTTCACAGGTTTTTTTCCTTTTTTGAGTTTTTCTGTGCAGATGAAAAGTTATAAGCAGCCAATCTCTTTCTCGTCAAGTTCTTAATGCTCATATTATTTAAGCTTTCAATAACATCATATCTGACGTTTATGGGGAATCATTAAAAAATGCTTTTTGTCAGTACATATGTACATTTAAAAATACATACAGTACAACAAGCAGTTTCCTATATTTGCCAGAAAACGTTTTTGTAATATATAAGCTTTACCTATTTATGGCACCAATGATTGTTGGAAAAATTAGGAATATGATGTGTGTGTCATAAAGGACCAACGAGAATAAAAGTGTCTCAGGGTGACATCACAGGATGATCATTTTTGTGAAATTGCTGGGAAAGTAGCAGCTCTCCATTGACAATTCATGCAATATAGTTTCCTTTGGACATGTAGGATATTATCTAATGAAAAACTGGGAAAGATAACATACAAAAAATAATCTGCATCGATTCCTCCAGCTGCTGGTACTTACTGGATCCCTGGTCCCGCCCGGCCAGCAGGTCGGCCCCCACCATGGCCCCCACCCCGAGGAGGCAAACGACGACGCTCACATAGTGGATCGCCCGATAGCGAGTCCGAAGGAATATCCAGGAAAGCACCATCAATACGGGGATCACAAAACAGTCCAGCAGCTGGAAAACAGGAAGCAAGCCCTTCTCATGGAGCCACAACAAGATAAGAATGCAGAGGAGCGGCAGTGGCGCTGCAGGCATCGTCTCCGGGGGAGAGGTCCGCTATCAGTTACATTATGTCAAAGCCAAGATGTGCTAAAAACCGTAGCCTTGAATCTCAGGAGGAAAGGTTAGTCGTACGTCCTTAATTAGATCCTACAAATTTTTATATATCCACAAAGACATTTCAAAAGGTAAAAACAGGCAAGAAGAGAAATAAAATCATCGTCATTATTATTATTATTATTCCATCCACTCATCCATCCATCCTCTATAACCGCTTGTCCTATTCAGGGTCGCAGAGTCTAGGGCCCATCCTGGAGGTTACGGGCAGAAAGCAGGGAACAACCCAGGATGGGGTGCCAACCCATTGCAGGGCACATCATTATTATTGATATTGTTATTAATGATTACAACAAAGAAGCAACTGAATGTCCACCATAAATTTTCTAGGTTCTAACCTGTATACTGGTCAGAGTGGTTAGCTGGTATGCCTTCACCACTGCGTAGTTGGCCTCCACATCAGACAAGCCCACTAGGAGGTACTTCCACCACTTTGTCCGCAAAATCTGCAAAATATTTCCATCACCTGTGTGTTACAAGAAAGCAAAGAAAGACCCCCAACAGAGAGGATGTTATTGTGGGGGACGAGATCCAGGGGCAGCCGACATGGACAGCACAATGGAAGGGGGCTGTGTGACGCACACGTGTGTCACATGGGTTAATGGTGCAGCTAGACGGCACTCAAAAACATAAAACTTCATTCGTGTTCCTGAAGGGCTGTGCAGCTTTTCATTAACTCAGCAGTTAACCATTTAACTAATTCACTGGTCTCACCCAGGACTGAGGTTGTTTACTATCTAAAGACAGTTACTCATCCACACAGAAACCCTTTAGGAGCAGGGGCAGACACACAATGTTATACTCGGTACACTAAGGAGAGAATGTTAACCCAAAAAGACATGCAATAGATGCGCATCCATTAATACAAAACAACATATAGAATGATATGAAAATCCTCCACACATGCCAAACAAGACTTTATGGCTCAAATGTTTGCATACTTCACTGCAGAGGTGAAAGGCTCAGGTTCAGGTTCAGAGAGTATAAATCCAGACCAGGATTTTGTTTCAACCACCCAGATGAGTATAAAGCAGGGACCACCAACCTTTTTGAAACAGCTGCTTCACGGGTACTGAGCCATACGAAGGGCTACCAGTTTGAAACGCCCTCCTAAACTTATCTAAACTTCATGTATAATAAACATGTTTTAAATGCTTTTTT